TATGGGACAGGGGAGGAGGGGTTAACAATCACTATGGGACAGGGGAGGAGGGGTTAACAATCACTATGGGACAGGGGAGGAGGGGTTAACAATCACTATGGGACAGAGGAAAGGGGGGTTAAAGATCATTATGGGACAGGGGAGAAAAAAAAATATTCTGAACAAACTGTCCCATAGTAAGAAACACTATGGAACAGTTTGTTCAGAATATTTTTTTTTTCTGGGTTTCCTCCTCTAAAAACTAGGTGCGTCTTATGGTGAGGTGCGTCTTATGGAGCGAAAAATACGGTAGATTACTTCCCCAATTATCTCCAGGGCAGAGAGGAGGGATTGTGAGGCATTGTGGGAGGTAACTCTTGTGTGATTGGTGTATTGGGTAATTGTTGTAAATCCCTCCCTTGCATGGGAGAATCCTTTATAAGCCTGTTGTGTGAATAAATCAGTGTTGTTCCTGTTTAACCCTCAAAGTGAAGTGTCGTCTCATTCTTGGGGGGAAATTTGACTGTATGCCGATTGCCAGGAGTGTAAGCTGTTCGTAGGGCTTTTCCTGTTCGGCTGCTTCCAGGGTTCATGTATCTGCTGTTAGAGAGTTGGTGAATACGTGCAAGTTGGAGTTCGGGAGGTTGGTGATTGCAGTAGCTGCTGGTCTATCTGGAAGGGGATTATCACCTAAACAGTTTTTATCCCCTTGTGAGCGAAACGGTCCGTTACAAGTATTTTACCATTTTATTTGTTTTTTTAAATAATCCAGTGAGCACTATATACGTCTCTCATCTCTCCACATATCGAGGAATTGTTAAGGACCCCATCATCCATATCTGACCAGTGGGGGATTGACGCCACTGAACGCTAAGAACACTTGAGCAAGTTTTTTTGCTCATGCTAAGGTGAGTTTTTTACATACTCACAGACTTATATCTGACTATTTGTCGATATCCTACACTATTGGAGTTTTTCTTATCTCTTTTATGTACCCACATATCGACAAGCGAATCAAGATACCTCCAACATAAGAAGCTTCAGACACTCATTTGGACTTTTTATCCACCCAAGAAAAATACAGGTTTATCTACTACTTGGGACTTTTTATCATATTTATTTATTCATTTTATATCACCTCTCTGTCCCTTCAGCGCGACCTATATACCAATTTTTGTCTATCTTATTCCTTGTGAGGCTTGTTGAGGGACCTCATTTTTATAGGTTGCTGCTTTTATACTTATTTTAGTTTCTTTTAGATTATTTAGCGCTGAACCGTTATCCATTTGTCCTATGGACCTTGTATTGACCCTGCCAAGAGTCCTGCAGTTTGTCATTCTGGACGGGCTTCAGTATTAGTACCTTTTGGCCCACTTGAAAACTGCGGTCTCTGGCCCCCCTATCGTACCATCGGCGCTGTCGTTGTTGGGCTGCCTGGTGATTGGAGCGTACCGTCTGGGTTAACGTCTCCAAGCGTTCCCTGAACTCTAGCACATATGGAACAATAGGGGTACCATTACTGGTGACTGTTCCCTCCCAGTGTTCCCTAATGAGATCCAAAGGGCCCCGTACTCTCCTTCTGAATAGTAATTTGAACGGGGAGAACCCCGTGGACTCCCTGTATGCGAAGAGTAGGTGGGGAAGGAACCGCTCCCAGTCTTTCTGAGTATCTATGAACGTACAGAGCATTTGTTTCAGGGTTCCGTTAAAGCGTTCACAGAGCCCATTGGACTGGGGGTGGTAAGCTGAATTCACGATGGGTTTCACCCCACATACTCTCCACAACTGGTGGGTAACTTCTGCCGTGAATTGGGTACCCCGATCAGAGATAATCTCCTTGGAGAATCCCGTTCAGGAGAATATTCAGATCAGGGCGTCCACTATGGTTTCAGCGTGTACATTAGTTAGGGCTACTGCCTCAGGGTATCTGGTAGCATAATCTACCACGGTTAAAATTTACTTTTTACCGGAAGGGCTTGGTTTCGCTAGGGGTCCGATTATATCTACAGCCACCCTACTGAATGGCTCTTCAATTATGGGAAGGGAATGCAGTTTCGCCTTGTACCTGTCCCCTCTCTTCCCTACTCTCTGACATGTATCACAAGTTTGGCAATACTGCCGGATATCTTTGGAGACCCCTGGCCAAAAGAAGTTTTGGGTCAAACGGTGTTTAGTCCTACTGACGCCTAGATGTCCTGCCAAGGGAAAATCGTGGGCAATACGTAATAGCTCCTGCCTATACTTTTTAGGAATGACTAATTGCTTAATGGTCATGGGTATTGATCCTGCTACCACCTTCTCTGCATATCTATACAGCAATCCTTTCTCCCAAGCATATCTCTCCACCTCCAACCCTGCCTGATTCTGTGCTACCCTATCTCAGTATACTTGTAACGACAGGTCGGTGGCTACCTCCGTACCAAATTCTAAGGGGGGGGGGCCCATGGAACAATAAGGGGTGCGTGACTGTTGCTTACCTGAGCCTCAGAGTGGTCGGAGGATGCGGTGGTGCGAGCCTGCTGCCGGGTAACAACTGGTAGCGCTTCCTGTGCTGGGTGTTGGGGAACAAAAGCTGAGGTCCGCTCCCCCAAGTCATTACCCAAGATAACATCGGCCGGTAAATCCTGCATGAGGTCCACTTCCACGTCCCCAGACCCTGCTCCCCAATCCAAATGTACCCGGGCAGTGGGGATCTTGTATATGGCTCCCCCTGCCACCCGTACTGCGACATACTCTCCAGTGAGCTGGCCCTTTGGGACTAAGTGGTTACGAACCAAGGTGATGGTGGCCCCTGAGTCACGCAGTCCCTGGAGGCGTTTCCCCTCCATATGTACCCCTTGACGATGTCCTTGTCGGCTGTCTGAGGCCGCCTGCACCGGGTTGACTTCCTGCAAGGTACCCAGGGGTTCCTCAGGGAGTCCTGCCGCCAGTGGTGGTTGTCTGGGTTCACCCTGGTAGCAGTGTACGGCCGTCCGGTTGCCGGAAGGGTTGGCTGTGTTAGCCCAGGTTGATCTGTTCTTATTCCTGGGACAATCTCGCTGTATATGCCCCTGCTGATTGCACATGTGGCAACGGATAAATGCATGGTTATTGTATCTGGGTGGGGTTTGGTAATTCCCCCCCATTGGGACGAGGTGTCAGGGTTGTGATGGTAGTTGGAGGTGGTGTTGCAACCCCTGGGGTGGGTCGTATCTGTGCTCGCTGTGCCCTTCTGGCGTCCTGGTACTCGTCCGCCAATCTTGCTGCCTCTGGTAGGGTAGGCGGTTTCCGATCCCTAAGCCAATTCTGCAAGTCCGGGGTTAACCCCTGGAAAAATTGTTCCAATAAAAGCAGCTGCAGCATGTCCTCCACGGTAGTGGCTTGTGCCGCTTGGACCCATCCCTTGGCGGCCCTAGTTAAACGGTGTGCCCACTCCATGTGGGAGTCTCTATCTGATTTTCGGATCTCCCTGAACCGCTGCCGGTATGCCTCCGGAGTTATAGCATACCTGGTTAGGATGGCCTGCTTCACTTTCTGGTAGTCCCTGCTGTCTTCATCTGGCATTGTACGGTAGGCTTCGGCTGCCCGGCCCGCTAGCTTTCCCACCAGCAGGGGTACCTGGTCAGTTGGGCTGATGTCATGTAGTTGACATAGCCTCTCAAAGTCATGCAAGTATCCATCAATGTCTTCAGTTTCTACGTAATTTTTAAAAGCGTGGTAGGGGATTTTAGGCTTCCCTTGCACCAGACGAGGTGGGGTTGGGGACCCCTCTCTGGACCTCTGGTCCGCTTGCTGCTTGGCCATCAAATATTCATGCACGTCTGCCATGATTCGTTCTACTGTTTCTGTGGGTTTTGTTCCTGGGAAAAACGCCAGCCTGCTTATGAGTTCTTTCTCAAACTCTGTCTGTGTAGTTTCCATAGGAGGTGCTGCAGCAGCTGCTCTGTCTCCCTCCATGAGTTCAGCGATAAGGATGGCTTTAGCTTTATTGCTGGCAATAATTCCCCTTGCTTCCAATAGCTCTTTTAGTGTAGCTCGTTTCAAACGTGTATAATCCATCCCCATTCACTGTCCGTTCAGGTATTTTCACATACCCTCCAGCTTCGGTTTCAGACGAATAGGAATTTCCACGAATTGTTGTTCCTGTTCTCTTATTCTTGCTCAATCTGCTGAACAACGGTCTGCTGTGAGGTTTGAATCCCGTCGCTTGCCACCAATTGTAGCCGAGTGGCAGGGGTTAATCCAAGAGCTCTCCGCTGGGAACAACATTTCAGCATACAAGAATACAGGAACACAGCATAATCCCCCTCCCCAAGGACTAGACGAAACATAGTCTGGGAGTCAACTGGCTTTTAATGCACAAGCTCTGCTTTTATGTGTTTTTCCCATGCAAGGGAGGCAACTTCCATAATTGTTACAGTATCCGATCACATAGTCGGTACCTCCCCCACATCTCCTCCCCTTAGCTTAACAGTTAAACTTATTAAAATGTACATACTTTTCCCCAATTCTGGGA